CCACTTGACACAATGATGGTCAATAGCAATTGATCGAATTGTCAATTCAACTACTCTTTTGAGATGTTTAGTGGATTCTATGAATTCTTTACTGCGGATTTTATGGGATYCTATATGCAGAATTGTCAGTCTACCAAGCCCTTTTGCTCCTTCTTTGAAACCTTGATCTGTCATTAGTTTGCATACTGCTTCCAGAGTCTGGAGGCGTGGAAGCTGGTTACAGATGAAGACAAATCCTTGATCTGCAATTTTGGTGCCACTAATTTTCAAATGCTCCAACTCTTTTAGATTGTTTCCAATCATTATTGCACCTAATAAAACACAAAGAAGAATGATGYTAAATGCAGAATTTTGAAATTATGTCTAAATCAATCTTGAGCCCGTAGTCTTCATGGCTACTGAGAGTTTAAGCATCACGTTTACGGTAAACGGCTAATTTCGTGCCTGACCTTGAGCGTTAGGTATTCATTGGAAAGAACGACTTTTCACGATTAGGGCAAACTCAAAATAAACCACTTTCGCATTGACACTGCAATGGTAAACCCCCAAAAAGCAGGTCACATGATCTTTTCTGCCGTTTACCATTTGCCGTGAACGTCATGCTTAATCTCTCTAATAATATATTGGCATAGCATTCTGCTGACGCTGCAAAGACTGTGGGGGAATCCACTGACTTTGTGATGGTAAATTTTGTTTTCCGCTTTAGAACATTAAAATGACAAAAAAAGAAAAAGGTTTAGTAAATAATCTAGTTTAGGAATGGTAATTATACCTTTTTCAAAAAAAAAAAACAAAACAAAACAAATTGTGTGGAAATATGTTTTGTAATAAGAACACAAATGCAGGCTTCTCAATCAATAGTTGGGCTGCCTGTGGCCAAACATATTTTGGCAACAACTGACTAAAAATTTACCAAAATTTGTGATCTTCTTCCCTGTCACACTTAACCTCTGTAGGTGGTTCAAGTGCTCTGTGATCAAAGCTAGACCAGAATCACTCAAACTGCATGAAGAAGCATCCAAACTGATCAAAGATTTGAAGGAACTTGCAATGCACTGAATGCCGTCATCTTTTATTTTCTTACTTCCAGCAATGCTCAGTGACTTGAGGCTGCTGCATGTCATGCTAGTTGACATTTGCTTCACATCTCGATTAAGAAGGCGATCATGTTTGACTTTTAAATCTCTAATGTTTGGTAGCTTACTGCAAAGAGTCCCAATTCCAGTTCCCTCGTTTTGTTTTGATGTAATTTTGAGAGACCGTAATTTTTGTAACTGATCGCCGATGAGATCTGCATACTCAATACTTATATCACCAACTTCACCTATTTCAAGTTGCTTTAAATTTGGCATTCCGTCAATGATATTGTATATCATTTCGCCAGAAAGTATATAGCCTTTGAGTGAAATACTTAGAGATTCCAACTTTGTCATCTTAGAAATTGCGTGACATAGTTTCTTTTCATTTATTTCAACATTACCTCTGAAATGAATTAACTGCTCAAATTCCATGTCAATGGAAAAATGTTTCAAGTTCTGATTTTTATTGAAAACATAATCAAGTGTGTCTACTGAAATAGTTCTAGGTCCGAAAACACGAAGAGTCAAAGATTCAAGATTGTGGAAAATGTCAGCTACCTCTCTTACGTTAACTTCTTCAGTGTACAAGTATACCTCCAAATCCAAGGCTTTAATATTCAGCATTTGCAAGGCTGCTCGCAATCTTTCTTTGTATGTTCCATAGTTAAACCACTCGTAGCCCAATTTCAAATGTTGTAGTTTTGGGCATGACTTGGGCAAGACTTCTAGACAATCTACTAATTCCAAAGCCAAGTATCCGTCGGAGAAAATTTCTTCTAGACTTGGGCATTTCTCCAAGACCTTTTGTAACTTTGCACTATTTCGGCATCTTGAAATTGTAAGACTTTTCAGACGTGCTAACACATTATCGAGTGATCTATCACAGTACAGAGAGATTAAATTAAGGTGACTGCATTCAGTAATGTGAAGGGAAACTAGCTCGTTCAGTTTCCCTAA